CTTCTCTTATAGCCTTCGTGCATATGTTCCTGATATGTTTATATTGCCTGTATGCTCCGTCATTGTCAGTTCGTTTGTATTCCGCCCAACAGTGCCTTTTATGGCTTAGCAGGCAAAGGTACGATTCTTGATTATTGTAGATGGCTTGCAGCTTTTGGGAACCGTTTGAGGAACTGAATGGTTTGTAGCACGTAAGAGTGTGTGCAGTAAGAAGTCCCAATGCTCGTCCACGTCGAGTTGGGGGTGAACATCCCAAACCACCTGTTGTCGATAGTCGTGTAGAGCTGGCACATTCAACCGTTTAAAATTCCAACGCAAGGTGTTGATGGGGTATCTTAGCTTAGTTTTGCTGAAGGCTATGACGGCATGATCGCTTTTTCCCAGGCGAGCCAAGATTGAGAGGTTGTCAACTAGAAATTCTTCTTTTGTAATTACACAGTCTAAGCGCGATGGTGTCTGACTGTTTCTCCGAGTTGCCGACCTCACATTTTCGTACAATCTCAAGTCATCGATGAGGTTGAAGAACCGAACTTTAATTGAGTTGTCGCCTCCAGTGTACGTGTGTTCCGCGAAGTTGACTCTAGGGAGATTAAAGTCTCCTAGAATCAGGATGTGTGTGAAACTGAGACGAGTAGAGAGGGATAGTCCTTCCAGCATACGACTATCGTACTCGATTTCGGCAGTTGGCTTCCTGTAAATGACTCCGACTAGACACCTCAAAGTACTGGAAAATCTTACAGAGCAACATATAGATTCCTCAAGATTGTTAAACTCGAAGTTATGAACTTGATGCACCTACAAGCAAGAACGTATGTAAACAACTGCTCCGCCCCCAAATCCTGATTTTCTGTCATTGCGGAACAAAGATATCAGCAAGACTGCAGCATTCGTGCTGCACGGAACACATTCCCACTTATGATCTGACTTGCTGAGTCTGTTGTAAGCAGTTGCTGTGAGATCTGTGCACGCTTCGTGGAAACAACCTTTGCAGTTGTCGCACTGCATGCCAGATGTAAAAGCGAAACGGCATCCAGGTCGTTTGCATGAATTTTTAATGACTGTATTGACGTAAACTGTGTTATAGATGCTAGCAAAAATCTAAGATCGTAAAAAATACACTAAAAAACACACTGAAAACGGACAAAAATGGATAAAACGGATGAGGTAAACTGAACTAGTCTTTACATGAAAAACTAAAAAACCCGAATAGTAAGCTGAGGCAAAACCACAGTTAACTATTAAATTGGGTGAAACTCAAAAAAGTAATCTACCGAACGTTTAGCTCAATGTAGATTCTTTTGGTCAGAAATGGTACTTTTGTTGCGTAAGACCACAGCAAAAGTCTGACAAATGCAAATCATGTTAGGACTAAACTTCCCGTTCAAAAAGCGCGGTGTCGGTGGTAAGAGAAAGTCTTCTACGTAATTAGAAGTTGTGCCATACAAATGCTCACAGCACTCAAAGTAAAATGGAGGAGCTCAAGAAAATGGTGGATGAAGAAAACCCGGATATTATTGCTGCACCAGAAACATTGTTGACTTCAGAAATGTTTGATAATGAAAATCATTCGATTGGGTTTTTATCCAGTAGAGCTGCTCTTGAAGCTAGAAAAACTTGGCTTTGTCGGACCTTTCCTAAAATGGCTTAACGATAACTTAGTAGTTCGTAGACAGAAAGTAAGAACAAATTCCAAATGCTCTTCCCGGAGACCAGTATTTAGTGGAGTACGTAAGGTTTTGTCCTAGATTCTTTACTTTTTATAATATGTGTGAACTAACTCTCAAGTATAGTTGCGTCCACAATGTTATTATAAGCTCATGATGTGAAAGTCTGGCGAGAAATAACGAGAGACGCGGATGCGTATGTACTTCAGGCACACTTAAATATCGTGATTAGCTGGACTAAAGAGTGGCTGATGCCCCTGTTTAAAAGGTGACTCCGATATCCTGAAAAACGTACAAAGGGCAGCTACCCATGCAGTTTCAGAACTTTGGGGCTCACCATACAAAGGGCGGATTGGAAAGCTAAACCTATTTACCCTGTCCTATCGCAGATTAAGAGATGATCTGTTTTTGATACATAATGTACTAAAAAATAATTTTGGGCAAAATATATATCTTCTCATTTTCTTCCTACTAGACCGGAATATCTTAGAGGACATAGTAGGAGTGCAGAAAAGCCAAGCACGAACAAAATACCCGTGGCATGCAGATATTCACACCGAGTCATCAATTCTTGGAACCTGTTACCCGAAGCAGTGGTATCTGCACGTTCAATTGCATCGTTTAAGAGAGGACTAGACACACACTAGAAAAGGAATAACACATTCTGTAGGTTTTCTTTCCTTACTATACAAGTCTGGATCCACTATCTTACTACTGAACGAACGAAAAATGTACTGTATAACACTATGTTTACATGACAGCATATAATATACCATCACTGAGTTCGATAATTTTATCCCATAGGTTGTGGCGGACTATACTATCTGCTTCAGTTTCGCATCCAAGATATACCTAGGTTCCTGCTTGGAGGTTTTGGTGATCCACTACTACTAGACACAGAAGCCCGTTAAGCGAAAGCTTCTTCTATTCAGTCCACAACCATTTGAACCATTTGTGTTAACGCAAGATTATGTTATTTCTAACTGTTGCCTCTTGCTTTCGCTATTAAATGTAAGCGCATTGCGTTAGCTTGCTGGATTGTTGTCTCACTTTTTATTTTGCTTTTCTTTCAACAGGCCTCTCGCACTTTACTCTGAATACTTCCTGAGCACACCAAGTACCTTCTAGCTATATGTGAACCTCTACAAGGTTATTAGTTTTAGAGCGCGCGGATCAGATTTGTAGCACTGCAGCTCGTTTGCCTCAGCTTACTTAAATGTATGCAGCTAAAATGTCTAAAGCTTACTATGTTATGAAACGTCTGCATTTAGTTACTGAGGATTTCTTTTTTCACTCCATTTATTATTTTGGATTATAGTCACTGCAGTATACTGTTGTGTACATAAGTATTTATCCTTCAGAAATCAATTTAATGGAAACTCCACTATATACTTTATGCTCCTGTCTGTTGTGTCTGAAACTTGTATACATCAGCGCTATCGGTCTTACGTAGTGAAATATCTCAGACTTACTGTTGTAATGTATTATATTGGGAGATTAGATTATGCTTCGTATACGGACTAATCAGGTGCAAATTAATGATTAATAAAGAGTTGCTCCTTATCATTGATAACATGTTCAGCAGTTTTGACGAACACTGTGAATTGCGTGCTGGTCTTTATACTAGTCCGAAACACGATGTGTAAATTTAGTATAGAAATCACGTTTTCAGTGCGTGAAGGTACGCTTAGTGAACATGCATTTTGTCAGAGTTTATATTAACTCAGGAAGTTGACTAGAGACTATTGACCTGCTCCAAGACAACTACTACGCAAAGAACCTCTAGCTGTAACTAACCTAAGAATGCTAACAAACGTTACTGACATAACTGGTGTATGATAGTCAATGCTCGAAAACTACTGTCTATGAGTGGTATAAGAAGAGCTGTGTAAACGTGACAAATAGTCAGCAGCATGTCTTTACTAATGTACTATGACCATGAAGTCGCTATTTCAAAATCGTTCAACAATTGATATGCCACTCAGTACCTGGGACATACTTGCGTCTGTTTAAGTTGGCACATATCAACAACTCAAGGGGTAATTACCGAGATTGTTCCTGGATCAGTTGAAGCATTGACAGTAGTGAAGTTGTATACTATAAGAAGATATAAACTCGTGGGATTAAAAGGTGTAAGATGGTTTTAAACTCAGGATGATATTAATTGAATGCACTTGCACTATTACCGACAATTCTGAGCTGTCACTCAGTCTCACTGATTATGAAGTTCTTTTTGACCTCAACCAGACAGTCCAAACCTACCAACACAGCTCAGGTCAATGATCGGTGAATCGGTACCACATTTTGGTTTGGCCACCCCTAACTTTCTCCCGACCTACCCCCCAAATTAGCAAGAATCTCATGCCAATGTAGGTGGTGGCTGGGCTCTTATAACACGTCACAATCACCTTAGTCGATGAGGACTTACCACCTCATAAGTCGATTCACCATCCTTATCTAGACCCTGCATCTAACCTCAATATTGCTCATTCGGTGGTCCAAGCATACACGAGCAGTGCTCTAAAGGCATATATATTCATTTGCTTATAAGCTACAGATATACTCTATTTTGAAAGGCCCCATTAAGCAACCATACAGAAGAATAGAGAAACCTGCTACAAAGTATTTTAGTGTCATCATTAGGGAACGAATGCCATATAACACGTTAGTAAAAATCAAGCGGGCCTCCTGAATACTTGCTCATATGTTGCCAGACACGCACCAGGACTGAGTAGACCTCCCAGATGATTACAGTAGTTGACACGTTCAATTACTTCCTTAAAACCTGATTAGTCTGTTAACATAGTGTAATATGATCTAACCCGACATATCTATTTTTTGTTTTCCTCAGTCACCAATATGTCAAATCATTTGGTTTCCCCATTGGCTTCCCATCACTGTCTTTATATAAAGTTTTACAACTTGGGCAGTATAACATTTGTGTTTGGTACTACATTCTCCTCAATTAACTGGTAAAAATTACAACCGGTTAACGGATAGAACTTAGTTTTCAACTGTTGAAACTTAGATCCGAACTCCGCTCCACCTTACTTGTTTTCTCAGTCTATTAGTGTCGCTAGCCCTCACACAAAACGGATAGATGAACGTTTACCTACTTTCTGAATCGTAGAAAACTTCGAGAATTTTGGTAACTGAAGTGCTTTTTGTCTTTAGTTATTAACTTGGTGTTCATGCTTGAGTGTAATAATCTTTACCTTAGTTTCTTCACTTTTAATACTTGTAGTTGGAATTTAGTGTTGCTACTGGTGTAATGGATATGTTATTTGGTCGTGTGGTGTAATTTTAAGTGTTCTCTAGCATCACCTGGATTGCAACATGCCGACAGTTTATGCGCGTCTAACAACGGGAAGAACCACATATGAAATGGTAAAACATCAAATTACGATAGGTCGGGGTTCAGCCGTGTACCCCGTTGACATTGATATAGGCTGTTCTTCTTACGTTTCTCGGCAACATTTAGAAATTATCTGGAAAACTGACTGCTTGAAACTTAAGTGCAAAGGCAAGAATGGAATTTTTATTGACCAAAATTTTCGACCGTACAGTTCCCAGTTTCTGTCCATCCCACCAAGGTAAATGTTTGCAAGTAGACTATTGAGTTTTCATTGTTTTGATTTTTATTCAAACTGGCAGCCACTTAAACCTCTTTCAATCATATCTTGTGTTGGCAATAAACAGTTTCTTCACGTTCATGGTTCCCATCTTAAGCTCATCTAACTCTATTCATTGATAATATGTGACATTTCGGGTATGGAGAGATACCAAAATATGGCACTTCGTAAATAAAAAATATAACCAAGAAAGATTTCTTTAAATGAATACTACTCATCTATGTGAAGGATTTATAGCCTTGTTCCAATCCATATGTGATAACGGTTTCCAGTTTAGTTGTGATGAATCGATAAATTAGAACAACACAAGCGAACAACATTGTTTTGATTTAGATCGTCACCAGGCTTTACTCTAATATGCATGAATATTTATAGGGGTATATGAAAATATTAAACTAATCAAGGCAACATAGGTATAAGATCAAACTTATGGATAAATGGACTAAAATAATAGTCACAAAAGTATCAGAATGACATGAAAAACTTGTGTAAATAATCAGGTAGTGAGGAACGACAAACTAATAAGGAATGTGGAAAAATCCGTAAAATTGTTTAAGTTATGTCAGGTCAAGGAAAAAACAAAAGTTTCACCAGTTTCTTGACATAAATAAAAATTATGAGTTTCTGTTGTATTTAGGACACAGGGTGGAACCTTATTAGTAAACGTGTTATGTCTCGACAAGAATAATGAATGGTGACTTTTGGGATCTATTGATAGACCAATACTAAACGTATATTTCTATTGTATAATTATTAAGTAACTAAACTATGCACATTCATATTTCTCTTATTATAAGCTTTATTTTGACCCATGATCTATTATTATACGTTTTACCATTCCTGATTTATACCCAGTGTATTAATTACTACATCTCGCTAATTCTTGTACAAATGTTTCATATTTTATTGGTACGGTGTGGTCTGTTTGATTGGTATATAAACTCAGTATATTTGAAATAGAACGATTCATATCACAGAGGTTCGGATCGGTGTCCTGGACTTAACTGGCTGGGCTAGACAGGAAGCAGAACCAATCAGGACTCTAGGCTGCTCATACGGGTATACACGTCATTGATCCGATCGATAAGTCACTGCCGTCTAATCGGCGGTCAGAAGTTATAACAAAACGACAAAGTGTACGATAAGTCACTCAAAATGATTTAGTTTACTTTATCATATGACCACTGTCAACCAAATATGTTAAAATGAAGCTACTTGTCGTGTTCCTATGCCGTTTTTTCAAACCGAGCTAGTAGTGTACCCAATATTAGGTATTTTCAATGAAGCAGCTAAATTTGTAGATCCATATCAATAAGGTAAACTCAGGTAGCTCATCTTTCGTTTGAGTAGACATTATTGTTCAAAGTAAAACTAGCTGCATAAAATGTTCTATTAACTGCCCTCGCAAATCTATCATGCAGGACATCTATAGACACATCCCTGTTAAATTGTAGTCTTAAGAACAAAAGTTTCTTACGAGCGGTTCAACTTATGTATCTCTGCATACATGTAATTAAAAAAACAGCTTATTTCTGTCAGTATTTTATTAAGCCCTGACTCCTTGGTGGTATCCTCTAAGGACATCTGTTTCGCTCCGCTCATAAGGCATTTGACCAAATTTCTTTGTAGCTGATGGATGTAAAACTATGGAGATATGTGTCTACGAAGTCGTTTTTTCTTGATGGTAACACTGATCGAACTATCATTACTGCAACTGAACATACGTTCCCTAACCTCGGCAATACTAATATATTGTTGCCAACAAAATGTGTGCAGTCTTTCGGAGCCAGCAACAACCGAACACAGTGTGCTCAAATATCCTCCGCTGGGAGTGTCCAGGTTTCAAAGTATAAAGTGAAACGTCTCTCTCTGATACATTATAAACCTGCTATTTTACAGCCGCATTAACGTCAGAAGGACGATAAAAATGACTCAGTTTGAGATCAACCGCTCTAACTCTCAGTATACGTAGATTGATCTCATCTACCAGTACTCTGATGCACAAACTCCTCAATTGTTTCCAATAGTTCACAAAGAACGAGTAAAGTTACAGACTCATGCTAATCTTACGATAGTGCTTTAGATTTCAAAAGCGCCATACCTACGGACACAAATCGCAAACTGATTGAATGCAATTCAGATAGCCTCTGTATCATCCTTCCTTCCTCCAAATTGAAATTGAAAGGGTGTGAAGAGATTGATCGACCCTAGTTAACTCGGGGTTGTTTTAAAACACCAACCTTATGTCCCCACTCTCTCTAAAGTGTTTATATACAGAGCCCTTAAAATGTCAATGTAATTCTCAAATCTTTTCTCAATAGACAATCTCCGGGTACAGTCCTGGCCAAATATATAGAAACACACTAATTATTGACCTGCAATGAGTGGGTGTACTAAACTATTGTCGGTCACCGGTTATCATGGGACTGTATCTCTTAACGTTGCTCCACTGCCTCATGGATTAGACCTGTAGGTCATAGGCTTGGGGAGTGGCCTCCTAAGAAAATCAGCTGTTTCGGTTTGGTCACCCGTACAGTATCCAAGCCCTCACACAAATCGATTGATAAAATGTAGCGCATATGTATTTGGTGTTGATATGCTTACATAAATAAATAAATAAAAGGATCTAAGCAAAACCTGGACTGCTGTTCACGAGCCAATTAGTATAGGAGCAGTTAGGAGCACACTTGCAACCCAATAATTGTTACTTAAATTACGTAGGCCATTTTGAGAAATGGAAACAATCGCTTTATTCTAGTACTGTAGAACATACTATTAAGTATATCCTTCAAAATACCCTATTCAGTTCTCTGGTCGTAACTACGAAATCATTCTTATAAAGGGTCGTGTGAAGTCCGTCTCGGTCTAGTTTTGATGATTCAGGAGTTCAAGTTCCTTATGATGCCTGCTTCATCGGATGAATCAGTAGTCACAGGCCACGGAGCCCAGTATAGTCTAATAGACCTAACTGACAAAAGAGGCCAAACTAACTGTCACTCAAAGTGCTCTGCCTGGCATTCGAGTTGACTTTGGAAGTTATTAATTAGGATGCCATCAGCTTTATGAATGGTTTCACTGACACCACTCTTACCACTACTAGCTCGAATAAGTTAAAACGGTTTCCGGGAGTTACAATATTCAGACACATCTTCCGACACGTTAGCACTCTCCGATCATAATTTTTGTAGTACTTCACTAGGATCTTGAATACAGGTATCAGATATAAAGTATACACCTATACCTTTGCATTCCAGTAGGTTAGGCAAAATCACCTGTTCTCCTATCTGGATCAAAGTGAAAACGTTGAAAACCATCCAGGGACAGATTTGATATCCTATAGGCAACCCAGAGCTTTCAATACTGACAAGCCGCTAAATGGGTTCATGCTAAAAATTAAATGTATAAGCAACAATAAATTTAAATAAAGTAGAAAGTTAATGTGTAATAAAGTAAATGTATTCTGTATAAGGTTCTAATGTACAAGAGAGTGAATTAATGCCAGAAGATCCAGTTGAATGGTAACTTGTAATCAAAATAGATGTGAACCCCATCCGTTTTCTTATGATCATCGACCTCATGTTCCCCATCTCAGGGGAGAGAGGTAACTCTCTACCCTTGGTCGTACCAGGGTACTCGGCGGTTATTTGAGGCTAACTCCTCTAGTTGTATAAATGTGTATACGAGGGGTAGTATCAAATAACAAGACTGAAGAAAATTTTCATCATTCTCAATTCTCTTTTTAACTCTCGTCGATGTCCTCTTCAGGTAGCAAATTTTCTTCCCTTATTTCTCTTATATGACAATCCACCTAGCGTACTTAGATTACACAGAAAGTAGTTTTATTAGGTGAGGCCAAAGTTATCGGTATCCTCAAAAAAATGTGAGTTTATATTACCTATAAACTGGGGTGTGTACTAACACTAACCTTATATATATTCATCATGTATTTCGTTATTTTCTTGAAAGGTGCGTTCTTCGATTTCCAAGCACATCTATTTGCGTCCAAATAGAACAGTGTTTCATGTCTTATGAAAAGAGTAATAGCTATGCAAACTACGTGTCTTCCCTTAAACTGGATTCATACGGGTCTGGAAATAGTTGTTCACCTGTGAATGGTGATAATCAACCTTCTCCAAGGATTAGTTCAAAGGCCTTCAATTTTATTGGACCCTCAGAAAACTTGACCACAACAACCAGTCGCACACGTCGCAAACAAGCACTGATACCAGCCTGTAGAACGACTTATGGCAACGTTCACTATTCTAATGTTCAGAACACAACTAGTGATGTACCTTCTTATGAACTAAAGAATACCTCGGATACGTAAGTAATTTCCTATCCTTCGCCAAATAATTCATTCAAATTATTTCATGGAATTTTCATATGGACTTTGTGTGTTAATAATAAGAATTTTGAGTATAAATAATGATAAGTAGTATAGTATGGTAATACTTCACACATCACTTTCTAGTCAGTTTCATACTTTCTGTAATGCTCTGAAATCTGAGAGATTTTCACCTTACAAAGTGTGTTTGCAACAATTCAACGAGTATTAATATCCTTTTAGTTGCTAGCATTCTCATAAACGAAACTGAAATATCATATCTTATATTTCTGACCATGAACAACGATTAAATTTGATATGACAAACAGATTTCTGCTAGAGGTATGCTGATTATAACTGAATGACTTATTTCAAAAACTTGGTAACACTTGGAGCTGACAAAGCTATAGTAGGCAAATTGACCCGTTACTTATTTACACCTGTTACAACTCGTAGAGCATAAGCCTCCAACCAGTATTCTCCAATGTCCTATCCACCTCCAACGTCTTTTCCTAATTTCCTCTTCAGTTGGAAGCTGGTTTTTCCTCTGTCACAGTAGGTTGTTGCTGATGGTATTCGGCCAACAGACATTGAGTATCTTACGTAGACAATTGTTTATAAATAATTGTACCATATTGATTATGGTTGTGGTAGTTCTCTGAGTTTCAGCTCCGTACAATATAACTCACTGTCTTGACGTTCGTACTGAAGATTCTGAGTTTGATATTGGTTGACAGTTGTTTCGAGTTCCATGTGTTCTTCAGTCGTGGGAATGCTCCGCTGGCTTTGCCAATCCACGCCTTCATATCTGCATCAGATCCCCCGTGTTTATCAATAACGCTCCCAGGTATGTTAGAAATTTCCACAACTTCCAGAGCATCTCCATCAATTTTGGTTTGGCTGGTGCTCGCTGTGTTAGATTTCAGGATCTTCCTGCCTTGTGAATGTTGAGGCCTATTGCTCCAGAGGTTGTTACTACATTGTTTGCCTTCATCTGCATTCGTTTTTGTGTACGGGATGGAAGATTTAAGTGATCCACAAAGTCTAGATTGTTTAGTTGCATCCAAGGTTTCTATGCTTTCTCTCAGATATGGAGGTCTTAATCCATTCAACCACCAGATAAAAGAGAAAAGACGAGAGCAAGCAAGCAGCCTTGTCTAATACCGATCGCATTTATGGATATAATACAGAGAAGAAATTATTTCGTGGAAAATAAGTTATAAGAAACTTTTAATCCCACGGTTTAAGGAAAGACAAAGAGTGTATACACGTACGCCAGTGTGATCGATTCTGGGCCATATCACTCAAATTATTCTACCGCTAGTTACGTTAGTCGCGTGAACCTCAATCGAGTAGTCTGCATCTAACATCATGATTCAGACCAGAAGTTGGTGACTTTGTGGACTGATGTCACGTTTTGGTTCAGCTGCCCCTAACGTTCCATCTCTCTCCAACCTTAGTCAGCACTGTGCGTCGTGGTAGTCGGTGGTTGGGCATGTGTAATACTTCTAGTCTTAGCCATGTTGGTAGATGCAGACTAATTGGTTGGTGTCCGCGTGACTATCGTAATCAATAGTTGGAGACTGAGTGACATGGCTCAGAATCGATCACAATGGCGTAGGTGTATACACTCTTATTCTTCTCTCAAACTATGAGATTAAAATTGCTTTGTGTTTTTCTTTCTACCAACTGATTCTTTATTCCTGTACTATATCCTTATACACAATCTTTCTTTTATATATTACCACCATTAAATTAACTACTATGAATTTGGTGTTCATCTTGTTGTGCTAATGAGGTGTGGCAACTTGAACCGATGTATGTGTGTTCGTGGTCCTACGTTGTAGCTGATTGAAGGTCCTGTTTATTTTTAGAACTATTCACCGTTGGAAATTATACCATTTGCTTGGTTAGGGCATTTCGTTCGTTGATCACTTGACAAGAAAAGTGAAATTTCACCCTGGGCTGGTTCGATTACAGTTTTTGAACATTTTTGTTATAGTCTCGAAGATGATTAATTCTAAAAAGGACAGTAAGTTACTCCAGCTCCCAAATCATTATTTAAAATAAAAAATGGCAATATTAAATGGCTTTGCAACAAGGAGAGGTTTTTGAAGTGCTTTGACTCAGTACACTTTGTAAACTTAATTTTCAAACAAGTTTATCAGCTTCGCTAATTATCGTTCTTCAAACTTCTATACCATCTGCAAATGTGTACTTCTACACTTCACTGGTGGAGTAGAAATAACAGGAAGACTTTGGATCGTGTCTAAAAACACCCCACTTTTTATAAGTTCTCGCTTCTAAATATCTCTATATTCACTCTTATTATGTTTCCAACTTCAGATAAGGTTTATAGCATACTCTTATATCCCTGTCTGGGACAATGCACCTTGTTGAATGCCTCTCTGAGGTCTATGAAAATTACATTGACTGGTAGATCACTATTTTAAGCCGCTTCTCAATCCTCTCCCAATTATTAGGTTAAGGTGAAATGTCTGTTAAAAAGCCTCTTATTCTGAGGTCAACAGATTATAGGACTGTCGGTGATTAAGTAATTTGATTATTTTTCCTAGTGTTATACTTATCAACCTGGTAGGCTGACAGCTAGATACGAGCTGTTTCTACTCATTCTTAAAACTAGGACTAATAGCATCATCCTTCCAATTTATTGGCAAGTTAACATGCTCATTAGATCCCTAGGGGTACTGTAAGCTAGGGGTGACAATAAATGAGAAGTGTAGATCATCAAGACTCTGACTTACTAGGTTTCAGTTTACTAAAAGAATGTTTTTGTGACAACAATAGCTATACCTTTAAGGCGACTATATGGTGTATATAACATGTTAAGGATAATATCCATTGACCAGTCTGTTAAGTTTTCAACTTTGACCGAGTCGGAGGCAGCTAGTATGTTTGAATTCTCATGCAACAATCTCTATGTTAGCCAGTCATTCAGCATGGTCATTTTCGGTTTAACAGCCATCTTATTCTCGAAATTATAATTCTTTGCTACAGTCAGTTACAGCGCACTTACTCGAAAATTGTATTGACAAGTTTTCCATTGTAAAGAAAGGATTTTACCCTTAATACGCTAATAACCTTTTTGTGTAATTTCAAATCGCTCATTTTCGTGACAACCTTCAAGTTATTTCATCGCTGTTTCCAATGTGTATTTAGTGCTTCCGTTTCCTTAGTAAATCATCGAAATTGTTAATTTAGGTATATCATGGTTCACGTACTCATCATGCTGTATCTACCTGAATTAATGATAGGGAATGGAGCAGTTGAAAACATTGACGCCTTAATCTATCATGGGAGTCTCATCAGTCCACCCAATACGGACAATCCTTCGCAGATAAAGTAGCCGAACAGCTATGGTCTTTGGTCTTTTGTGTAGATACAAAAGTATACGCTTCCCTTTTAATATATTGAAAGTTTTACATGCGTCTACAATAGGGTATCATAGTTTTAATAGATATAACTAGGTTATATATACAGTTGCCGGTTAACTTGTTTTATCTCTACTTTCGGTTAATCGTACTGATAATTTTTCGTCTTTTTTATACCTGTCACAAAATCCTTGCTTTTATGTGAGCTCACTACTAGTTTCATGGTTTTGTTTCACATAACCAAGTATAATTCTACGAAGTTGGCAATATTACCATCACTTTAGTTAACGATCTCTTTGTTTATGTGATACTCGAAGTTTATTTCGATATTATCGGTCGATAAGGTTTTAAACCCAACTATTTTTATTCTTTAGTTAGGGACTTCAAGCACTGATGCCACGTTTTGGTTTGGCCGCCCCTAACTTTCTTCCAACCATCCCGAACACCGGTTAGCATTCCGCGTCGTGGTAGTCGGTGTTCAGGCATACGTAACACGTGGCCCAACCATCTCAATCGATGAACATTCACAACCCCACTAACTGATTTACCATCACTCTCTAATACCCTGCTTCTAACCTTGCTATTACTTACTCGGTGATCCAAGCATATGCGAGCAATATTTCTAAGACATCTCTGATCAAATACTAGTAACTTACGAGTCTCATCTACTCTTAATGGCCACGTTTTACAGTCATAAAGTAGATCAAAACGAACTGTTACACAGCATACTCGTCTCTTAATTGATAGACGGATATCTTCCTTTGCCATAGGTGACATAAATTGGCAAAAGCCAAATGAGCTTTCTGAATCCGTGCAGAGATTTCGTCAGACACCAACCCATTTGGGCTGATCAGACTTTCAAGATAAATGAAATTATCGATGTGTTCTACTACTCCACTTCCTATCCTTAGTTCAGGTGTTGATACAGTTCAGTTTTGAAGCGATAATTTGCATTTAGAGAGGGAGAAACGCATACCAAACATCCTGGCATTGTTGTTTAGTGCTACCAAAAGACTGCGTTTTATCAGCGTCTTCATGAAATAAAGCTATATCATCTGCGTATTCTATGTCGATAAGTGGACCTCCTGGAAGGAGATCAATGCCTGAGAATTCAGTTGACGAGAGCGTTATTTCCAGCAATACCTGTGTTCTAAAATCGAATGACTGGTGACTATGTGGTCGATGCAATCACGACCGGGTCTAAAGCTAGCCTTGTTTTCTCGTGTTTGCAGTTCACCAGTCTTTGTTATGCGCCCGATAATTATTGAGGCTGGCAGTTTAGACGCTATTTTAGTCAAACTATCCCCTCTATAATTATCATAGGATGATTTTGGTCCTTTGTTATATATTGGGACGATCAGCGATTACGCCCAGCCAGATGGGATTACGTCCAGTTCCCATATTTTAGCTAAAATATTAGTCAATCTAATCGCTAAAACTGGATCAGCTGCCCTTTCTTGTTTCAGATTAGCTCTAGCCTTTTGAACTTCAGCTAGAGTTGGGGAACCTACTTCAATGTTTCATTCAGGCTGTCTGGGAATGGTGGGTAGTTGTAGAGTAGGTGAAGGTCAACTAAACTGTTCTCTTAAGTGTTCCGCCCATTGTTTTAAACGTCTAGACTAAGAGCAGATAAGTGCCGTCTTTTTCCTGATTTCTTCTCACACATGACTTAATTCTTAGTTTGAGAAGTTTTCTTGTGTTACCTACAGTCACTGCCTTTTTCATCTCTTTCTTTCGTTTCCCTTATACTTACTGCTATACCTAAATCTGCTAGTTCACGAGAATTCGTTTTCAGATCCCCAGATAAACGGAGGGTGTATCTCGTCGGCTCCTTTTTTGGTTAGGTGTGGTCAAATGGATGACGACACCAAGATCCTATGTGCGTGTTTCGGAGGCACAGCATACATCAATGGTAGGATATTCTAGGGTCTTAGCCGAGGAGGCTTGTCGCCGATTTAACACAGGGTACGTACGTTGGAGGCTCTAATGTGTAGTTTGTAGCGATGTTTCAGTAGACCTGGTGTGGTGTGAGCTACTTATATTGACATAAGTAGTATATGACGTGCGTTAAAAGAACGTAATGCTCGGCAGCAAAAGATGGCAAAGACCAAGAAAGGTGAAGCAAGAACATAATGGAATTTGTAAGAAAACCTATGAACAATGGAATGGGAGACAATGGATTAGTGTTTGCAGCTTGAACAGTACAGTTTGATATGATGTATTGATAATTTGCAAATTGACGATTGACTTTATGGTATTCAGATTTTGTTGAGATAGACTGTAATTGTTGTGCTAAATACATCCGTTTGTCCCCACCCGTGTTCTTGTTCACTACACTGGGACGGTATTTATCGCACTAGAATCGTTAATCATGGCGACACTTGAGAAGAAAATCGAAGGAAAAAGTTTAGAGTTGACAATCGAGGTAGGAGGAACAATAGGGATTGAAGAGGGAGATTGTCTATGAATATTGTGGTCATTAGTGCTGTTATAATTATGAAAGCGGTTACCACTTTCCAGTCGGTCACTCTGTGAAAGGGTTTTTCTTGAGGTATCTGAAAAGGAAATTGGTTTAGAGTTGGTCTTAGTGACCCGAGAGAGTGATCTCGGTACCAAAAGTACAACTGCTTGAGGCCGGTTGCACACGACCGTTTTGTAGGCAATTTTCGTCTTAGCTCCGTACTTGTTGAGACTTTACCGCCGGAAACGGAGATCCGTTGAATACGACGAGGTGTGCATTTTTAGTGTTGACCTTTTCTAACCACACCCTTCTTTTGTGGGAAGGCAGCATCGCTGTTATACTGGTTGTCTAAGGGGAACACCTTACTGCCGTTACATCTCTGTACAGTCAGCGGTACGAATTCGCCGTCGGATCTTGGGTTTTCTGCTTGTAGTCTTACCGCCATTCAACAGACCTGCTTGTTATGGTAGAACCTTGAGAAGCGATTGTTCCAGCCAGTATAACCTGACTGGTTCATCACGATAGGCGATCCCGACCACCACATCAAGGTGGTAGCAACGGTGGGGCGTTTTTTTAGCAAATCTTTTCCTACGGGATGGTGTTGGTAACCCCATCCTCTTCCACTCCTTTATTTGGTCTCGAAACCGCTAGTAACTTCAGAAGGGTTTCAGTTAGAGTTTGGCTCTTTATGTTCTATATTTTGTATGTTTTTGCCTTTTATTATAAAGTTGACACAAACGTGCAGCGGTTCATTTTGTAAACATTTTATTAAAAAAAACTAAATAATAAAATTTGTGTGAAAAATTTAAACATGTAGAATGCAGGAAAAATAAGCAAAATAAAATGTTTTACGAAAAGAGCGAATTTTTATTTTCGCTTATTTTTTGTGAATCCTTTCCAAGCTAATTACATGTAAATTTTAGTGTGTAGCTTTTTATTAAAACATTCGCAACATGAACTTCTTCACATTTGTGTTAACTCCATAACTAAGGGAAAAATATATTCAATGGTATTTCTAAAAAAAGATAAATCATAGAACTGTGGATAGAATCAGTCATTTCCATCCTGTAATTAAAAAATGTACTATTACATACCAGCTTTCACTCAACTTTTACTATTATAAGTAATTCTCTGTTTTGATAAGTATATTATTGTTTCTTCTGTTTCTAGGACTCAATATGGTAAAAATGATAGTAATCGAACAGAAACTGATATACATCAACAAACAAGTTGTATTGGCAATAATGCTAACATTCAGTACATCCACTTGAAATCTAAAGCTGATCTACCTTTTTCAAATGTGGATTCTATTGGTGACGGTATAACTTCCGTCAAGTCATCACAAAACTCCATTTCTGCACCTATTGTTCACTTAGCAGCGTTTCCAGCTGTAGAGCGTGGAGATCAGTTCACGAAACCCCCATACTCTTATGCTCAACTTATTGCTCAGGCAATCTCAAGTCAGCCAGATCGTAAACTTACTTTGAGTGGGATTTATGATTTCATTAGTAGGAATTATTCATATTATCAATTAGCTGATAAAGGCTGGCAAAATTCAATTAGGCATAATTTGTCACTTAATTGTCAGTTCGTAAAAGTAAGTATGTATCTAAACGTTTCCTTATTATTTAAGTCATAATTATTAGTGTATAAACTGCACAAGTCGTTCATTTCAGAATAATCTTAGTATTTAGACACTTTTTTAGCACAATACGCTTTTCAATGTCCTTTTGTAATGAAATTGTGGTTTATATGATCCTTTCGTGATTTAGTTCCAGCCACTGCCTTTACGGTTTTGTTTCGACTCCTTCATTTAACAAAGTGTAAACAGAGTAATGATAAGTTTTTGTTTTGATTTCCCGTTTCATTACTGACGCAATACAAGTAAAAATCTTGACTGAAAAATTGAGTTAGTGACTTCGATCAGTAGTGAATAATTGAAACATTAGGAAATTTGAGCTCTTACTGTACGTTCCAAACAACACAGTGTGTGTTGATACTATCATATCATTCAAGCACCTATAGTTTAGAGTTGAGTATCTGTACTAGTGGTGTGTATCTACGTAAAACTTAATCAATCACAATTTTATTATCATAAGCACTTTTGTCCTTTTAACCTGATTTTATTCATTAAGTCATCCGTTTTTAAAATGTCCATGCAAAATTTGTTTACAGTCAATACTTCATGGTTCTATTTAGTTTAGTTTATGCGTGTCCCTGCTTATACAATAGAAGGAGTTTTATTCTTTTATCGTTCTTAGACGATTCAAAAATAAAATTTAAAAATCCATCAATGAGAAGTATTCTTTATTTACGATTTGTGAATTTGACAACTATGTCTCTGCAAGTTCTTTTTCATTGCTTTGAATATCTCGATTCAGCTTTAACAAGCCAGATTTTATCCTCAATGTTTGGTAGATGAATTCATAGTTTTAGTTGGTGATATTCGGTTTTGATTTTCTAATTTATTCTAACATTGAGTTTATTCCCACGTCTGATAAACTTAATTACCATCATTTTCAGTAACTTCGGTATGCTAGACCAATTTTCTAGCTGAATACGGGATCATAAATTCGATTGTAAATAACTTATTACGATGATCGCTCAATTGTCCAAATAGAAGTAAATGGTGCGAAGCTGATGAAAAACTGGTTAAAACGGACTATTTTACAGTTGTGTCGTTCAGACTCCACCTTAAAATTTTATGAAAAAATGACCTATTTAGCGTTAAGAGTAACATGGAATTTTTTCAGTTTTTTTACTACACATACTTCTACCAACGTGTTTGTTTCATTGAAAAGGTTTTAACTGATTAATATCTGCAGATTTTGTTGCAACAATGAATCGATAACCTGAACGTTGAAACTGGATATTGAATTGCAAAACGGAACTCTGTTATCGTACCACTACTGTTATAATTCTCTCTTATTACAACCCAGCTATTCCTATTGCTTAGTAATCTCGGACACCAATTCACTCGACAAGTCCCCAAATCAGAAAACGGTTGAACAGGAAAGACATTATATTCCAAATAACAAGGTTAGATAGAAGTAAGAAGCACAATAGGAAAAACGTTGGTATATTTATAGTTTTTACATGAGATTTCTAGAGTATTCTCCAAGTATCGGCTACTGCTGATTGGCTAATTCTTATCCAATCAGCGTGCACCAAAGTAATCGTGCATGGAGCATGCTTTAATCCAGTCTATGTCCCACTAACAACTACTAACTAGAGAAAGTAGTCAGTTAATCACAAGTAATGTAAAAAGTGATACAAAGGTTTATCAGTTCAAATTGCTATAGCTTATCAGGCCAACATAAGAGCTGGCAAAAGATGAAACAAAGCGTTTAGCGTTTTTTTAGCAAGTTAGTTTTATTTATTTATTTGAACACATAAATATTGGTACCAGAAAGTACCAAATATATATGCGCCACACAGTTAGTTTTCTACGGGATGTGGTCACTAACCCCATGCCAAACCCTCCTTTATCCGGGCTTGGGACCGGCAATAGCCCCAGAGAGTGTCAGTTGGAGTTATGAAACAAAGAGTAGACAATAATACTAACTTCAGTGACAAGTAATTAGTAAGAAGTATGGTTTGTAAAGGTTCCATAAGATCGGTCGAAATATGGAAAGTGTGGAATTAAACTAAGCTCAAGATTTGAAGAAGATATAAAATGGATACAATTACACCACTTTGACGGACTTTTGACCAGTATTTCTAGCCAAGTACACGTCCATATATATCTGATTGAATCATCTATCATTTTTAGGCTAATCATACTAGGCTGATCAAATATCACTGTCCAAACTAGTGATTACTTAAAAGTTAAATACCTAAAAATTTGGACAAGTAAGCTATTAGTTGGTGTGATTTTAAGATGCTAGCTAGCAAACATCTAACTAAATCGCTCGAATAAATAAATAAATTTAAGTTTTAACTCAGCGAATATCTGAATCGCTACTTATTTGATTACATTATTCTTGGAAGAGTAAATCCTCTTCTAGTCGTAGTACTGAGTGTCAGGTAAATTTTCGGTTAAAGGTCATTTAAATCTAGGAGACAGGGATGGGATGGTTATCCTTCTCACATCATAAGACGCAGCCTGTGCATTATTACTGAGTCGAATTATTTTTACATAGTTAATAATCAGAGTCATTTGGACCACTATTTACTCAATTAAAAAAACCCACCATCTGAACATTTGTCTCATTTGATGAATGTAGATGGACCTTTATATCTCGTTTTGGAGATCTGTTGACATCATTTTCCGTTGTACATATATTTGTTTATCAGCACTTCATGTGTGACTATTTTTATTGTGTACAGTTTAAAACCAAAAACAAGCACACATGTGTATTAATACTTTATTGTTGCAGGATTTTTCATAATTTCGTGTTGTAATTTATATTCCTCCAGGTTCCTCGTTCACAAGAAGATCATGGTAAGGGTTGTTTCTGGAGAATCGATCCAGAGCATGAAGCTAAATTGTTGAATATTGCTTTCCGTAAACGTCGTATAAGAGCCTGTGATACAAGTTCATTTTTAACAAATAATCGATATCCATTGACATCATTATCTTCAAATGGGAAATTTTATAATTATATTATTCCAAAATCATTAATAAATCAATCACACAATAGTTCAATCATAATGTCAACAGGCGGTATTCATTTACGGAAATCATATAAACGATCAAACAAATCTCCTGACCAACTAAAAACTCCTTACAAACTTGCATTATCGTCCTCATCATTTGATGTAAACATACAGCATACACCGCTAACTCAAAACAAGGAGGATAGTTTAAATGTGATCACTTTCCAACCTGTCGTTCATAATTTGGTTCCAGTTAATCAAGGTTGGTTGTCATATTGATTTTAACTGCTCTCCTACCCTCGTTCTGTCACTAGTCAAATTGGTACTTGCTAATGCTCTACAATCTTGTAATTAGAGACAATAAAGTTATGACTTCATGAATCAGGGGTTAAACCCTAGCTTTATATAGCGAGTTTTATGTGTTCATCAGATGATAAGGGTGTTGGTATAGTCTGGTACCCAATCTTACACATGACTGCCACATTGCAGTTTTCACTTTGTATCTGTATGAAATTAAAATCAAATGCTAATAGCCGATGTTAACCTTGAGATTTAAAGAAGTTTGACTAACTAACTAACCACGCTCTAAACTACACGTAGGAGCTTTTAACGTCCGAACACTGTGCCAAATAGGACAGCAGGCTTCCTTAGCTAGGACTTTAGAATCCCGTGCCATCGATGTGTGCTGCGTCTCCGAAACGCGCATACAGGATCCGAGTAGCGTCATTCATCTGACATCACCATGTCAAAATAAAGAACCGACTCGATTCACACTTCGTGTATCTGGAAGCCCTGATTCTGCTTCCCGTGGCCTCGCCGGCGTAGGTATAGCATTGAGTCCTAGGGCAAAACTAGCTCTCTTAGAGTGGATCCCAGTAGACAGCCGTTTGTGCGCTGTCCGACTGAACGGAACAGTAAGAATCCGGAAAGATAGGGACACCCGTCGTTGCCTATTCTCCCACTGACTGCAGCTCAGATGATGTAAAAGATGAGTTTTACAGAAAGCTTTCCGACCTTCTCCGAAAAGCTAGGCGCTCGGATATAGTAAAAGTGGCCGGTGACTTTAATGCTCAAGTAGGTAAACTAATCGATAGGGAAAGACACCTAGGTGGATCTTATGGTGTCGTGGCTCAGAGAACAGATAATGGCGACTGTCTGTTGCAGCTATGCTCAGATAATCGTCTGTTCCTTGCAAATACTAACTTTAAGCATAAGGAAAAACATCTTTTAACATGGAGACCCCCTAATTCGTCCCAACGTTGAAGCCAACTAGATCACATCGCTATCAGCCACCGATGGAGGGGCTCGATAGAAGACTGTCGCTCATTCTGGAGCACATGCTTAGATTCAGATCATGCTCTAGTGCGAGCGCGTATTTGCTTGCGTTTTACTGGACATAGGAAAGACGCTGCAAGGAAACCTCTTAGTGGTCTACTTAATGATAGTCAAACTCAGAGTATATTTCAGGAACAACTAAGAAAACAGTTAGGCAGCCATGTATGTGATGCCCACCTCGGCGCAGCTTGGAATGATATCCGAAAAGCTGTGGAAACAGCAGTGATATCTGCTAGTAAGGTAAATCAGAATGTTAGGGAGCAACACTGGATCTCAGCAGCATCTATCGCACTGATAGATGCTCGAAAACTCATTCCATCTGGATCTGAACATAACGAAGAGCGGAATCAGCTTAAGCGCAAGCTGACAAGAAGCCTACGCAATAATCGCGAACAGTGGTGGATAGAGAAAGTAAGAGAGATGGAAAAGGCTGCGGCAATAGGTAATAGCAGACAATTGTTCAGACTCGTTAAGGAAACCGGAATTAGGAACCCGACCGTTAGCGAAACAATCTCAGAGAAAGATGGACGTATTATTCATTCTCAATGCAGGAGATTGGATCGATGGGCAGAACACTTCAGGGATCAGTTCAACTGGCCTTCAGCCACACTTCGGTTTCCCACGATCTCCAGTCAATCTGAATGGCAAGTTAATGTAGGTCGTCCGACTCTTTATGAAGTTGAAAATGCTATAGGAAATCTGAAGCGAGGGAGAGCAGCAGGCCCTGACAGGTTTACTCCTAAGATTTTTAAGGATGATGGCTTAGTATTAGCAGTGAGATTAACTGAGATCTTAGGTAGAATTCGGGAACTGGACTCAATCCCATCTGACTGGTCTCAATCATTGATTGTGCCAGTCTATAAGAAAGGACAAAAGTCCTCTTGTGACAATCACAGAGGAATCAGTTTGACTAATATAGTGTCTGAAATATTAGCTTCAATAGTACTTCGACGCCTAACTAAAGCTCATGACTAGAAAAAATCAGGATGGTTTTCGACCTGGACGTGGTTGTATAAACCATATATTCACACTACGTCAGGTCCTAGAACATAGACACACATTCAGACGCCCCACAATGATAGTATTTCTCGACCTTAAGACGGCATTCGACTCTGTTGATCGTCAGGTTCTATGGCAGCGTTTGCCACTGAAAGGAGTACCAAAGAAGTACATTAACCTTATAAAGGCTCTCTACTCGAACACAACTGGTAGAGTGAGAGCTTATGGCGAACTGTCATCAGAATTGATTACTTCAAGTGGTGTTCGTCAGGGCTGTCCACTCTCTCCATTCTTGTTCAACTTTGTCGTTGACGTGCTTTTAGAGATGACACTTTCCTCATCTAAATTTCCAGGGGTTGAACTTCTACCAGAAGATTCACTTGTTGACTTAGAATGTGCCGATGACATAGTTCTGTTTGGTGAAGACGCTGACAAAATGCAGAGTCTTCTGACCACTCTAAGCAACAATGCAAGCATGTTCGGGATGCGATTCTCTCCCTCGAAATGCAAAATGTGGCTTCAGGATTGGGTTACATCGACACCCGAACTAGTGATAGGGAGTGAAGTAGTTGAGTGTGTCGACCGCTTCACTTATCTTGGAAGTCTCATCAGTCCTTGTGGTCTGGTATGTGATGAAATCTCAGCACGGATACAGAAGGCTCGACTAGCTTTTGCCAACTTGCGTCATTTATGGCGTAGGCGAGATATCTGTCTATCAACCAAAGGACGTGTTTACTGCGCAGCAGTTCGTCCCGTCTTACTTTATGGCAGTGAAACATGGCCGGTAAGAGTAGAGGATATTCGTAGGTTACTAGTATTCGATCATAGGTGTCTTCGAAACATTGCTCGTATATCATGGGACCATCGAGTAAGTAACACAGTTGTTAGGAAACGGGTACTAGGTAAGGATGGCAAATCAATTGATGAAGTGGTGAAACTTCATCAGTTGAGATGGCTGGGACACGTGTTGCGTATGCCCAACCACCGACTGCCTCGATGTGCAATGTTTTGTTGTATAGGAGTGGATTGGAAGAAAGCTAGGGGCTGCCGGACCAAAACATGGCACAAGTCCATGAAGTCACTGACAAGTGGTCATGTTGGTAGGTGTAGACTACCTGGTTGTGGACCGCGAGATGAAAGCAACCAATGGTTAAAGACCCTGAATGACATGGCTCAAAATCGTTTGCAATGGCGCAGGTGCATCCACTCTTTGTGTTCTCCCAAATTCTAATCTCCTGATTCCTCGTCTCTTTTTTTTCTCTTTCCAAATTTATTTCACTGTATTATACTCTTTAAATATCATCTCCAAGCCCTAATCTTTCCGATTACTACTTATACTCTTACTACCTGTACCACTACGGGATTTAAATCGACAACTGCATCTGTGTGCTAATGTGGTATGGCAACTCGATCTGATGTACGTACGCACGAAGTTCTACGTTGTTACTTACTGACTGACTGAACTACCTGTATATCTATCAGTAAAGGAATTCAAAGAATAAAGGATTAGTAAACAGTGATCAGCATACAGATTATTTCTGAATTTTAAATAAATCTTTCGCGTCAAAAACGTATTCCTCAGGTATTGGTGGCCAAAAGATTTCTTATGCATACTAGTTTTAATAACAATTTTATTGTTTACACTCCCTAAAATTACGTAATCGTCTCTATTTCTTACTACTCAAGTCAGTAGTGACCGTTCACACTAACTGTGTTATTGAAATTTACATGTTTTTGATCTCCCTTTATTAAATATCACCCATTTTTATGCCGTTTGTGCCCTAAAAATACATGTTTGACATTATTAATAATTGTATACTTGGTTTAGACTCTAACTGAAAAAAAAATCATCTTCTTTTTAGAAAATAACATTCTTCACTCAACACTCATGTCCTAATTAAAACTAGTCATTTTTCAAGATTGTGTATATTTTCTTATTCGAATCATTTCTTACCATATATTACATATGTACTACATCGTTATGCAAGTATACGTTTTTTCCTTTCATTTCAGTGTCCTCTTCCGTTTTACGTATTATGAACACTAAACCTATACTAACAACTAATTTCAAGTCAAGTCATCATAAAGAAGACCAGTATAATATTTCATCTTATCATGCTGGTCCTTTTGTTGTACAACAGCCTACTTATTCTTTACTGTCTTATTCTAATTCCTCCAAGGATACAACTGTATTCCATCAGAACAGTAGTGGTACAAATTGACAACATAGCTGTTTTTCTGTTTACACACAGTGATGTGATCACCTTTAAAAAGCTTAATTGCTATCGTGTTTAATAGCTATAGCTTTTTTTACCTGAACAAAATATGAGTTTTTATCCTTTTTACAATTTAACTAATATAGTTTCTTTTATTAGTGATCATTTATTAGCTATGAAGAACTGGAAAAACAATTGGCTGTGCAAATTGCTTTTATATGTATTTCTGCATTTTTTTTACTGATTTTATTTTTAATTACTGCATTCGTATCATTTATACCAATCTCCATCGTTTCTATTTATGTGAATATCATTTCAGCTCCCTTTTCCCTTTGTTTTTCTCCTGTCCTGTTTCATTGTTTATGATTACCCCTCCGTTGTTTCCTTTTGTAGTCACAATCACTACGTTGCACACACATACATGCATATCTGTCTTTAGACAATCACTCATTTATTTTTCTATAGGTGATAATTTTCATAGTAAAAAATGGTATTAATTGCTAAACATTTAAAGCAATCATGCTAATTATTTGACAGTTTCTTTGTTTGTTATTTCCAAAATTAGTTATTTGGGCTATACGAAATATAAGCAATGATATACAATACCGACTCAGGATATCTGTAATGCGTTTCATCATAGGCTGTTACGTTAAATCAAATAGGCCTAACTAGTGATGCATATCGTTGAGTGAAGTTGTGAACTGTTGTTGGTTGGAATGATGGAGGCAAGGGTCACACTTAATTTTATTTAGTTAAACACATAGAGAATGGCACCAAAATATAAATGTGCCACACAATAGAAATGAGATCGAGAAAGACAAAAGAAGGTCAGTATAATAAAAAACTAATTGAATAAGAGTAAAAGATAATGCGAAAAGCAGTTCAGTTAAGGAAAATACAAACAGAAATGATTCTTTCAGTTAAAGTTCCCCTCATTTATATGAAGAAAGTAGAAAGCCACAGCAGGACTACCACTAGCTTCTATTCTGAACCATGTTTGTAAAGTCTAGGGCCACCAAGCTGCACTATCAAGAATTTCAACCAGGTCGTTGTGAAGGATCAACAGTTCTGTACAAACTTTTTCCATAAGACGACACTATATCATACACTAAATACCTTTCCTCTTTACAGCCAGTTCCAACGTTGGTAAACAATACACAATGTGGGATTTGCTTAAATGACATTCGTAGCACTTGTCTAAGCCACCGAAACCGGTGTTTCAAGATGGTGATACCAATCCGATTATCATCACTGCCCGGGCACACCTTGCCGAACCTCCTTGTGTTCGACACATTGCCGCAACTGAATGTCAGTAATCCCTTGGAAACAACAATGATTGGACACAGTCGTCTTGCATCCTCAACTCGGAGAGGTCAGGTCTTACAAGCATAGAGTAAGACTGCTCTCACTGACGCATGGTAGATCTGGTCTTTAACAGCCAAATTAACATCATGGTGCCAAAGATGGCCCAGATTGCCATAACCTGCTCTCGCTTTCACTATATATGGGTTGATCTCATCAAACACGCCACCACCAGCACTTAGCTATCCATATGCACGATCTTCTCGACTACTTCTACCTGCTCACTACCAAGAGTGGACGTAAGTTCAGGATTCTCCCAGTTTTGTAAAAGTACTATTCACTTAGAAAGTGGAAAACACACACCTTACCCACGGACATCGCCAACTGATTAAGTGCGGATCGCATGGCTTGGTTATCATCGCACAGTGAAACAATATCATCCACATACTCAAGATCGAAAAGTCCTTCTCCAGGCAACATATCCACACCACTATTACCTACATCAATCAGAGCTGTTTACAGTCCATCATCGATAACAAAGTTGGTGCGATTGGACAACCCTGCCTAACCCCACTGCTCGAATTAAAGAGGTGGTTGTATCCATTTATTCTGCCTGAGGTATTTGTATTCAGAACCTTCAGGATGTTAATAAACCTTCCAGACACCCCCCGACTTCAATAGACAATCCCAGAGAACAGTCCTGTCCAACGAATCGAAGGTGGTTCTAATTTCAAGAAACAACAATTGTTGACCTGTAATAAGTATGGGGGTGTTCTAACATTTAGCGGAGGGTGAAGATATGATCTTTTATTTATATGCGCCACACATTAACGACGAGGCCAGTAGTAGTTATCATTGATTTGTATGAAGGCTGTGATACTGCCCGTGTGCTTAAACCTAAGAAGGGAAAATATGATCAATACTTCGTCGACCAGAATGGAAACTAGCCTGCTCCTCTTGAAGTAATCTCCCATGAGTTTTGAACAGTCTGCAAAATATGACGGGAGCTAATAATGTGAACGCAATCGGAAGTAGACTTATCCCTCGATAGTTTTTCCCTAGGTGACGTGAACTCTTTTAAAGGATAGTGATAGCTATCAACTTATTCCATGATGTCGGAACACTAATTGCAAATAACTTGGTCAGTTCCATAATCAGTAGGTCGCTACCATCTTCAAAAAGCGCCGAATGTAAGTCAACTGGGCCTGATGATTTGTGGCGCTTCATGAGTTGGAGTTTCTTGCGCACTCCCTTCTGTTTTGATGGATTGGTTAACAAAACAATCTGGTCGATGTCGCCAGGGCAGCTAAACTGTTATTCGAAAAACTATCCAGCGTCTAAGATATCGATTGGTGTCCCATCCACTTCACAGATCACTTGCTGTCAGTAGCACGGATGGGTTAAAACAAATTGAAGTTAATCCGATAATTAAATTTGCTCAATGAAATATGCGAGATATAAAAGATTATGCTCAACATGTATTCAATTACTAGACCAAAGTGGCTACGTATAATATGTCGTTCAGTCAGCCGCTCAGCTGAATCTTGTGTAATTTTATACTCTTTGAATCTTCTCAAAACTTTATTTTCGTCAACGTGTAAAAGCAAAATGCTCTAGATATCAGGATTTCTGTTTACATTATTGGCCGAGTATCACGTTTAATTTTTTATAGAGCGGAGGATATATGCTTAACATAAAATTGTTTTGGTTGTAAATGTTAGTGGGATGTTCACACATTAAGCCCCATTTTACCCTTGAATTAGTTTGGACCTTAGATCCAGTGACTAAATGCACAAACACAGACTAGTAATATCATCTGTACACTCAGATAACTTCAGGTAGCTCCAAGCACTTAGAGACGTAGCGCCACTCTCAGACACTTATCTGATGAAATCTTCCGAAGACCTTTTTTACCTAATATTTAAATACAAAGAAGCTAACTACAGGTTAATTACTGTTCAAATTTTTGTGCTCTTTATATACGTCTAGACGAATAACTGTCCCCTCAAGATTATTTATAGGTGTACCTCTTGGATTCCAACAATAAATTTTGTAACTCGAACTAATTACCACTTTTAGATCGCAGTAACTTCGAACGGATTGGCCTGCTCCACATTATAGAGATACGAGGTATGACTAACAGTTTGCATACAAGACTACAATAAATATGGATAATTTCGAGATGTTGGATGCAAATAGTAACTGCAATGGTCGAAACAGTCAGTCTTGAGGTCTAAGCAGAAGATTTAAACTATGTTGAACAGTGCATTGATAACTTTATTAGAATAATTTTCAAACGTAGACAATAATTGTAGCTGAAACTGTGTGTTGATATCCAATCTAATGTTCTACGTACTTTAATTTGTAAATTAACGTTGGTTTAAGACAGCATTTTCAGTTACAAGTACTACATCAACTCATTGTTTAAATGGCTTAAATATAAACTTGATTGCTTTGAACTTGTTATTCATTGACAGGTCCTGTAAATAAATTCAATCTGTTGTGATAACAAACTAATCATAAGGCTGCAAGGGAAACCAACTTAAGAAAGTATGCTTAAAGAAAACTAGGTAAGGAATATCTTTCACCGTAGACACACAACCTTTTTTGAACAGCCATCAGTTTTTTATTTACTATTCCCTAAACGATACTTCATTATAACTTTAGAACCAATTTATTGAGCGTATGAACACAGTTTCCAAATGAAAAAATGAAGCTAGTGACTGTAAGGTGCGTTTGTTTTATAAATGCAGGTATTAATAGACCACACTTGCTAATAACGCGTCAATCAGTTGAAATGTGTTTAAGATTTAAAGTCACATTTAGAGTATTTATAAAGCGGTATAGTGTAATAAGACGTGGATTACCAGAACTATGTGAAATATTGGCGCAATACATTTCCAACAATCTGATAATTCAGTCCTGATAATCTTCGTTCTTTTATTACACTATCCAAATTTATCAAAGGGACTAATTACTCCGAAGTTGTCTAAGTTAAATTTATTAGCATGACCTCTGGGTCAGTTTATTAGTGGAATAAAACTGTTAGCTTAGATATACATTGTAAAACAGTTAACTAAAAACGAACTGTAAACAACTTCATTTATCAGTCTTATATTTGTATGCAGACTTTGTAATTTAACTTGATCTAGTTGTTGTTGGAATTGTTTTTTTTTATACAGGGAATGTTAGCTTTGAAAAACTATTTGATTGTCGAATGGCAAACTCATACTAACTTAATTGTCGTTCGTTTTTTCTTATTTTAGTAAACAGCTCATACACCTTAATCCATTTATTTTGCCAGATAGTGATAGGGATTAATAGAGCATTACTAGTATCAAAAAAAAGAATACTAGTATTTATCTCTACTAGATCATAACATTTGATTACATAATACTGTATAGACAACGGACATTTGAATTAACTGTTACACAGGTTTATTTTCAGCATAAATTGAAAATAATTTGAAGGGAAAAGTCTTAATACCGATAACAGTAATTATATGACATTGAAATGATGCACTAAATTTACACTTGGTTCAAAAGGACAAAAACATGTTTTACTGTTTTTATGGTGATACATTATCACCAAGTTGTCACTACATAAAGCTTTTCGGATACGATGTTCCTAAATTATTGTTCAGTCTAGTTTGAAAAGGCATAAATATTCAAATATAAGTTACATTATGATTTTTTTTTGAAAATCAGAAATTCGGGAGTAAAACATTTATTCGCCTTACATTATCTTATTAATTGCTTTTAAAAACAGAAAAAAAGGTGATTAGAACTGTCACATAGCTCTAAAAAAACGTTCGCTCATAAAAAAAATTAAGGATTGGACGATGAGATGTTGAAAACTGAGCAATCATATTCAAAATTATTGGTCATTCACTTTTTTTAGCGTCAGGGTTTAGGTTAGTCTAAACGAATCAACATAATTGAACAGTATGAACACATCAACCTTGAGGAATAGAGAAGAAAAATGTATATTAGTCAAATAAACCGATTGAGTTTAAGCAAATGATAAATTTGGAAAATAGTGACAAGTATTTCTAGTGGGAAAAATCTGGATTTGAAATTTAGTCCGCTTAAAATTGACTGACTGAAAATTGACTATTAGTGTACTTGCCTTTATCACAGAAGGATGAAATTGCATGTATGACAGGAATTTGTGAAAAGAATTATTTTAAGTATCCACTATACCAATAAGGAAGGACAGACGACAGAATTCAGTAAACAATAGCGAATACATAATATAAAACAGTTTACTATTGTGGTGTGAGCTACTTATATTGATATGAGTAGTATATGACGCGAGTTAAAAGAACGTAATGTCTGGCAGCAGAAAATGCGGAAGATCAAGAAAGGAAGAGCGAGAACACAATGGAATTTGTAGGAAAACGCATGAACAATGGAATGGGAGACAATGGATTGGTGTTTGCAACAGAAACAGTCCAGTTTTATTTGATGCATGAATATTTTGCAAATTGACGATTTATTATTATTATTCAGATTTTATTGAGATAGTCTGTAATTGTTGTACTAAATACATTCGATTGTCCCCACCCGTGTTCTTGTTCACTACACTACCAGTAAGAAATTAGTTTACTTTGGTTTCAATTCACTGTCAATTAAAATGGACAGTGACTAAGGTTTGTACCATTAATGTCTTGTTAATGAAGAACATCAACAGGTTCTGTTTCCAAGTTATGATGCTCTCTAGTTGCCAGCACCTGCGTAACAACATGAAACCGAATAAATAACAAATATTAGCAGTTTAAAAATCCCCATAGAATATTCAAAAATGAAGAATATTTGAGCGAACAATTGTTTTCAATAACTTCATCATCAGGCTCTACAGTTATAAGTCCATAATTATAATATTTTACAAAGGCCAAAAGTAAGGCATGTTTTAATGAGTTTGACAATGTTATGTGTTAAAAATGGTAAACGTTTGCATCTGTTACGATATATATATATATACTTCAAAAATTGTAATATTTGCAAATTAGAAAGGTCATTCAATAAAGGTCAGTAAACTGTTCAGTCACAATAAGATAATGTAATAGTACTATTGCAAAATTGAAAATAATTTTGTCAACTGAGATAATAATATTGTTGTGTGAATATAATATGTAATAAGGGGGGTGTTATCAAGGTAATTACGGTCAACAAATTGGGAATGATGGATATGAAGATTAAGATATAGATAATGACAAATAATGATTGTGACTGAACAGTTTACTGACCTTTATTGAATGACCTTTCTAATTTGCAAATATTACAATTTTTGAAGTATATATATATATATCGTAACAGATGCAAACGTTTACCATTTTTAACACATAACATTGTCAAACTCATTAAAACATGCCTTACTTTTGGCCTTTGTAAAATATTATAATTATGGACTTATAACTGTAGAGCCTGATGATGAAGTTATTGATAACAAATATTAGTTCATTTCTTTTTGGTCGTGACAACAACGTAGTACTGGATTCTCTTTGTTCACAGAAAGGTTTTAATTCACATTACCTTCCATGTTAGACGATGTCTCTCCTTATGCTTAAAATTTGTGTTTGCTAAAAATAAACGATTGTCTGAGCATAGTTGCAGCAGACAATCACCATTATCTGTTCTTTGTGCCGGTATACTATAATACCCACCTACATGCCTTTCTGTTTGGTTTAGACTACCTATCTGGGCATTAAAATCACCTGCTACGAGTACTATGTCTGAACGTTTAGCTTTCTGAAGAAGTTCAGATAACTTTCTGTAAAATTCATCTTTCATTTCATCTGAGCTGCAGTCGGTGGGAGCGTAGGCAGAAACGACAAAAAGGCAACGACGTGTGTCCCTATCCTTCCGAGTTCTTACGGAGCCGTTTAGTCGAACAGCACACAAACGACTGTTAACGGGGATCCACTCTAACAGTGCTTGTTCAGCCCTCATGCTTAGTGCTATCCCTACTCCTGCCAGTCCACGAGAGCTGGCCATCGGGTCACCAGATACACGGAGGGTGTATCTCGTTGGCTCTCCGTTTTGCCGAGGTGAGGTCAAGTGAATGACCACACTGGGATCCTGTATGCGTGTTTCGGAGACACAGCATACATCAATGGTACGAGATTCTAGGGTTCTAGCCAAGGAAGCCTACTAACCGATTTGACATAGGGTGCGTACGTTGAAGGATCCAATGTGTAGTTTGGAGCGAGGTTTCAGTAGACCTGGGACAGTGTTTTGAGCACTAGAATCGTTGGGTATGGTGAAACTTGAGGGGGAAGCTGAAAAAGGAAGTTTAGAGGTGAAAGTCGATGTAGGAGGAATAATAGGAAGTGAAGACGGAGGTTGATTATGAATACAGTGATCTTGAGTGCTGTTAGAAGTATGAGGGCGGTTATCACTTCCCGGTTGTCCACACCGTGGAAGGGTTCTTCTGGAGGTACCTGAAAAGGAAATCGGATTAGAGGTGGTCTTAGTGACCTGGAAGCGTGACCGCAGTGCCCAAAGGACAACTGCTTGAGGTCGGTCACACACGACCTTTTTATGGGTAATTTTTGTGTTAGCTCCGTACTTATTGAGACCTTACCGCCGGAGACGGACAGCCGTGGGATAAGACGAGGTGTGCATTTTTAGGGTCGACCTTTTCTAACTCCACCCCTCCTTGTGGGAAGGCAGCATCGCTGTTATGCTGGTTGTCTGAAGGAAACACCTTACTGCTGTCACACCTCTGTACAGTCAGCAGTACGACTTCGCCTTCGGACCTTGGGTTTGTTGCTTTTAGTCTTACCGCTCTTCAACCGACCTGTTTGACATTGTAGGACCTTAAGGAACGGTTGTTCCAGCCAATATAGCTCGGTTGCTTCATCACGATAGGCAAACCTGACCACCACAACAATGTAGCAACAACGGCCGGGACACAATGATATGGATAGTAAGCATTAGTAATCCACTTTATAACCGGAAACTTCACTTCCACATTTCACCTAAAGCTTGAATATAATTAAACTTCGATATTAACCACCATTCCTCAAGAACGGAAAATAAGGAGGCAACAATCAACAACGGACGAACAAACCCAGAGAAGGCCAACGAACAGGCCAAATATACAGAAGCAGATAGACGAGTGAAGCGGGACATTAGCGATGACATGGGGAAATATGCAGAAGACCAACCAAGTACACCAGAAAACGCTGTAAAAGAAGGACACATGAGAAAACTGTGACACAACCAAGAAGCTTGTAGGGGAGTACAGTGGAGCACAAAGACCAGTCAGGGACAAAAAAGGGAAACTAAGCACTGGAATGAGTGGATAGAGCACTTTGAAGAGACCAGTACCACTGCACTCAACGGACATCAAAACATCATACAGAGACTTTTTATAGATAATATCAGACTGGGAATAGGAGGAATTAGTAAGGTCATCAAACAAATACGGAATGCCAAAGCAGTAGGACCAAACAACACATAATCTGAAGTATTAAATTCAGATATAGAGACAACTGCAAATATGTCCTATGTTATATTCAGAAAACGTTTGGAAGAGCAACTGCCCAGAGACTGGAAAGACGGATAACTCACCAAGATACCGAAGATCTTAGTAATTGTGAGAATTACAAAGAAACCATAATACTGTCAGTATCAGGTTAAATATTAAGCTGTATTTTACTAAACCGAATGAAAGATCCACTAGACGCCCAACTTCCAGATCAAAGAACTGGCTTTCTTAAGGATCAAGCATATAACAGCTTAGCCGCACTACTGCCAACCGTTTTCCAATAATCAATCGAATGGAACACATCCCTTTACATCAGCTTCCTTCATTATAAGAAAGTATTCAGCACCATGTATAGGGAAACCTTGTAGAGAAATCTTTGATACTATGGCGTACCTGAGAAGATTGTCACCATCAAACAACTTATGATAATGACTGTTAGCAGTTGTGAGAGAACTCATACACGAATAACAAGATGAGTTATATATTTTAAAAAAAACATCACCAAGCTAAATGTTCAATTATTAAAACATTCAACTGCAAAACCATAAATTCGTAGATTCAAGCCTCGCTATTACAGCAGCTTGATACTATTGCGCAATACCATATAAAAAGTGTGACTGAAAGCCGAGTGCATGAATGTGCACTTCGTTTCTGAGTTATTTTTTAAAATATTGAATTATGTACAATATATATAACTGTGACCCAATGGTACCTTCGCTTAAGGTATCATATTAGTTCCTTCAAGTGATTTTCTTCTTGAACAATTTTTTAATCTTTAGCATTGTTGAGAGGCGTAGTAACTCGAAACATTTTATAATGTAGGATTCTATATTCCACTCATATTCAACATTAGAATAGCTATCCTCGGGTTTCTTGTAAGTCAGCATCTAGGCATATGTTAACGTTAATTTGCCAGAGTAAAGCAGATTATAAATACGTAGAAAAGAAATAACTAGCGAATTATTTTATGCATAACCAAATTAAAAACAAGCTTACTTGTTTTTAATATATGTAAATTATGAGGAAACCATTGCGATTGAATTGGGTGAAACGTTACCTAGATAGAAAAAATAATATAATTTTTACTCCATAGTAAACGCGATCGAAAAAATGTGCATTTTACGCATCCAATAATTTTATAGTGATCAATGAAGAATATTGTATATACCAATATGTATCAATGTTCTTTCTTATAATAATGCATTATGACACAGGGCTACTGAAAGCATTAAATGTGCGGTTCCATATTCAAAGCATTGCCAAAAAAGGGGTTCAACAAACTAATCAGTAACTCTAACATCGGGTAAAATATTTTAGGGAAAAAATTGAGTCGGTCAAAGAGGTTCCTCTTACACGAATTTGATAACGGTATAGATATAGCCAGATACCAAATAACTAATTCATAATTGTCCACCTCACCTTGTGAAGGAATATAAACTTGCAACAGTTAAGATTATTAGCTTGGAATAAAGACTATATGCAGTCGTAGGCACTTCCAGCAATAAACTAGACAAATTCACCAACATTTCAGAAAGGTGAAACTATTTTATGTTCTATGATTATCCAGACTGGAATTCTATCAACAGTAATAGTGAGGGTTAGTGTTACTAATTAAAAGTAATTTCCTGATCACATGCTGATTCAATTTACGTTAATTTTTGTCATGTAATGCTGTCTTACTAAGTCCACACACTCAGACTCAAGCTATCCCGAAATGAGGATAGCAGTTGAAGTATTACTAAATTGCTAGGGTAGTAAAGTCAGCGATCGATTAGATGAGTTATAAAAGACAATCAAGACTATATGCTGGAGGTGAAAAGTGAAAGCTTCTACCTATAAAGTTTTAAAATTCAGAGTGTATAGAAATTTACTCTCTGCCTTCTGATTAATCAGTAGAATTTCGAGATTGCATCGAATACTACCAAATATTTTTCGAAAAGTATACCTAATAGATATAATGGAACAGAGAACTGTTAATTTCTGTAAAATCCTATTAAATGTGTTGATAATAATAAACGTTAACTCAATAAGTGTCTCATATATTACCACTCGATTCGACAGATGCAATTTGTCCATCAGAATGTTGCACTACACGTTCATGTTGTTGAAACTGACCGGAACCACTTATTCCCATATGATTTTGTGATGTAACTTGTAAATTATTTGGAACATGAGAAGCAGAGGAAACAAGATACTGCTGATACATAATAGGATTCCCAACAGTAGATATTGTTGTAGGACCGACTGCCATAGGTACTGGATGCTGAACTGACGAATTAACTGAAATTTGATGGGGTTGTCCAACAACAGATGACTGGGACAGATCCGATGATGCGTTAACTACAGATAATGGATAATTTGGTGCAGAGTCTTGAATTTGATTAGGTTGAGTCAAACCGGAAGGAATTGGGTGTGAACAATTTGTTGGTCCGACTACATGCTGAGTCGCTGTACGGTCAGCAATTGTGGCTAAATAAATAAGATTACGATGTAAAACACGTTCTAATTCCACTGCTTCTTTAACGGCTCCAACTCTTTGATGTGCCATAAGACTGTGTATAAGTCGGACGTTCTCATCTAGCATCTATAAAGGAGAGGAAAATATCAAGGTATAGAATTAGAAATACATAAAACCCATAAACACCAAAGTCCAAGTAAAAGGAGGAGAAATTTTTTTTAAAAACAACCTACGTCAAACAATACCATAAGCTAAAATGATGGAATTTAAGAAGTAGGCCAATTAAAGTTTAAAAATTGGAAATAGATGGTGAACTTTTAAAACCCCAGAATGACTTACACATAAAAGTGAATCACCTTACAAAGTATTACTTAGAATGCAATACAGTTACTGTCAACCGAAATAATGTTACAAGTTATGAAGCCAGCATTAAAATCAAGCTGTGAGGTTGGTCGATAGCTGGAAATTTAAAGGTGTAAATCTATGGAAATTTCTAGTACTCTTAAGCATCTAGCATCAACAAGACATTTGATTATTTACTAAAGACTGAACAACCAATTCAATGTGACTAACTTTTTTCAAAGGCTGAAATATCTTTCACAAGAAGAATGCAGAAACACTAAAAGAACTATGTATATTCCCCAACAGAGATAAGCTTTATAAAGGTTATCTGTAGAGTAGTTATATCTACAATCTGCCTCTATGAAGTGCATTGGACTTTAATTAGATGGTTGCCCAACTTTTCACGAATTTTTAGCATTAGTCTTACGACGAGATAACATGAACTATCATATATCTGAGGTTTTGACTAACTAAAAGCAACATAGTGACAATAAAACCAGTTTATATTATTAAGAAGTGGACCATTCAAGTAATTTTAAACCAAATGATTTGGAAAAGTATTATTAAACATCTAAATGTGAATCAATTACCTTTTGAATCGACGAAGGTTGTATAGGCTGCTCGCGTCGCAACTGTCCAGGTTGCATGGAGATAGTTGGAAGACTTTTAGATGGAGATGTATCTATAACAATAATGATAAAAACAACAATAAGTTACTATAAGTAAAATATGCACCCATATATTATAATTTCATCTATGGGATGCCCTGGTATGGCCGACAGTGGGGTGGGCTCGCCCTCCCTTTCGAAATACTCTCACATGGCCACGCGTATGCAACCTCTGCCAGGAAGTCTTACTCACTGCCTTCTCGTGGCAGAGGTTTTGTTTTCGAAATTGAGAGGACGAAAAGCGAATGTCCGGCGCTTTAACCGGATTCCAAACCAATGGTGCACATGGGCTCCAGTATCCTGCCAGGACAAATGGCGTATGAACCAATCGTTGGTCACCGGCTACCATGGGACTGTATCTCCTCACGATGTTCCACTGCCTTGTGGGTCAGACCTTTAGGTCCAAGGCTCGGAGTGTGACCCCCTAAGAAAACCACCTGCTTCGGTTTAGGCACCCGGGCAGTATCCCAGCCCTCACACAAACCGAATGATTAATATGGCGCATATCTATTTGGTGCCCCCTTGTACCAATGTTTATGTGTTTAAATAAAATATAAGAAAAATATACAGGTTAATTGGAGCAAGTCGTTACATCCAAAACTTAATATTTTTGGAGACACGTGAAAACTATTTATAATGCTTGTGGAGTGACTGGCGATGTTCCGCAATTTAATTTATCTGAAGTGTTAGTTACACATGACACTAGAAATTCGTCACACGGACAATAAAGATATTGGAGTAATCTATCATCACAGATTCCGTAAGTAAAGAACTACTTCATGAGCTAGTAAATAATCTAACTTTATCTGTTTTAATATATATATATATATATATATATATATATATATATATATATATATATATATATATATAATATCATTTCGATTTAAATAATTATTCCTATCATGTAGAAATAAAGTCCTGTTATATCATAAATATATTTGACAATATTCGGTATAGATTAAGAGAGTTGATACAACCATATATTTAAACAAGATAATAGTATCTTACGAAGTGACCAAAACGTAAACGGAAAAATTGCAGTATGGAGAAAGTAGAGTTGTTCAACATGAAGCGCAACTTCCCAGTTCATCAAGCTAAGGGTTCAAGCGCATATAAAGCCACACTAATTAGAAGCTGAGTTACTTGGATATTGAGTGAAACGGTAGAGTAGGTGCACTCATTTTTATGTTCCCTTACATCTTGAGTTTTAATGTCATTACATACATTTTATTTCGCGAATTCATTCCTCCCTTTTGAACGATAATCATTTTTGGTTATTGATTACAATAGTTAAGACTACAATGAACAATATCAGAAGATAGAGTAGTCATAATCAGTGAATTGACATTTCGACACCAACAATTTATACTACAATGTCTGCAACCGAATTCTATTGAAAGTCAAAAGTCGATTAAACACTATATGAGAAACAGATATCCCGCCAAGAACAAAACAAGAATCGTCGACAAATCAGCAATTGGTCTGAGTTAGTCCTGCTAAATATAAAGACGTTGAATTTAAATCTATTAACAATTACATCAAATTACATATAGCCTGTTTTTAGCACTAAAGCCTCGAAGCTTTTAGTGATAGACGAAGAAATAATGAACAATATTAAGCAATCAGACAATAACAACGTAGAACTTCGTGCGTACGTACATCAGATCGAGTTGCCATACCACATTAGCACACAGATGCAGTTGTCGATTTAAATCCCGTAGTGGTACAGGTAGTAAGAGTATAAGTAGTAATCGGAAAGATTAGGGCTTGGAGATGATATTTAAAGAGTATAATACAGTGAAATAAATTTGGAAAGAGAAAAAAAAGAGACGAGGAATCAGGAGATTAGAATTTGGGAGAACACAAAGAGTGGATGCACCTGCGCCATTGCAAACGATTTTGAGCCATGTCATTCTGGGTCTTTAACCATTGGTTGCTTTCATCTCGCGGTCCACAACCAGGTAGTCTACACCTACCAACATGACCACTTGTCAGTGACTTCATGGACTTGTGCCATGTTTTGGTCCGGCAGCCCCTAGCTTTCTTCCAATCCACTCCTATACAACAAAACATTGCACATCGAGGCAGTCGGTGGTTGGGCATACGCAACACGTGTCCCAGCCATCTCAACTGATGAAGTTTCACCACTTCATCAATTGATTTGCCATCCTTACCTAGTACCCGTTTCCTAACAACTGTGTTACTTACTCGATGGTCCCATGATATACGAGCAATGTTTCGAAGACACCTATGATCGAATACTAGTAACCTACGAATATCCTCTACTCTTACCGGCCATGTTTCACTGCCATAAAGTAAGACGGGACGAACTGCTGCGCAGTAAACACGTCCTTTGGTTGATAGACAGATATCTCGCCTACGCCATAAATGACGCAAGTTGGCAAAAGCTAGTCGAGCCTTCTGTATCCGTGCTGAGATTTCATCACATACCAGACCACAAGGACTGATGAGACTTCCAAGATAAGTGAAGCGGTCGACACACTCAACTACTTCACTCCCTATCACTAGTTCGGGTGTCGATGTAACCCAATCCTGAAGCCACATTTTGCATTTCGAGGGAGAGAATCGCATCCCGAACATGCTTGCATTGTTGCTTAGAGTGGTCAGAAGACTCTGCATTTTGTCAGCGTCTTCACCAAACAGAACTATGTCATCGGCACATTCTAAGTCAACAAGTGAATCTTCTGGTAGAAGTTCAACCCCTGGAAATTTAGATGAGGAAAGTGTCATCTCTAAAAGCACGTCAACGACAAAGTTGAACAAGAATGGAGAGAGTGGACAGCCCTGACGAACACCACTTGAAGTAATCAATTCTGATGACAGTTCGCCATAAGCTCTCACTCTACCAGTTGTGTTCGAGTAGAGAGCCTTTATAAGGTTAATGTACTTCTTTGGTACTCCTTTCAGTGGCAAACGCTGCCATAGAACCTGACGATCAACAGAGTCGAATGCCGTCTTAAGGTCGAGAAATACTATCATTGTGGGGCGTCTGAATGTGTGTCTATGTTCTAGGACCTGACGTAGTGTGAATATATGGTTTATACAACCACGTCCAGGTCGAAAACCATCCTGATTTTTTCTAGTCATGAGCTTTAGTTAGGCGTCGAAGTACTATTGAAGCTAATATTTCAGACACTATATTAGTCAAACTGATTCCTCTGTGATTGTCACAAGAGGACTTTTGTCCTTTCTTATAGACTGGCACAATCAATGATTGAGACCAGTCAGATGGGATTGAGTCCAGTTCCCGAATTCTACCTAAGATCTCAGTTAATCTCACTGCTAATACTAAGCCATCATCCTTAAAAATCTTAGGAGTAAACCTGTCAGGGCCTGCTGCTCTCCCTCGCTTCAGATTTCCTATAGCATTTTCAACTTCATAAAGAGTCGGACGACCTACATTAACTTGCCATTCAGATTGACTGGAGATCGTGGGAAACCGAAGTGTGGCTGAAGGCCAGTTGAACTGATCCCTGAAGTGTTCTGCCCATCGATCCAATCTCCTGCATTGAGAATGAATAATACGTCCATCTTTCTCTGAGATTGTTTCGCTAACGGTCGGGTTCCTAATTCCGGTTTCCTTAACGAGTCTGAACAATTGTCTGCTATTACCTATTGCCGCAGCCTTTTCCATCTCTCTTACTTTCTCTATCCACCACTGTTCGCGATTATTGCGTAGGCTTCTTGTCAGCTTGCGCTTAAGCTGATTCCGCTCTTCGTTATGTTCAGATCCAGATGGAATGAGTTTTCGAGCATCTATCAGTGCGGTAGATGCTGCTCCATGTTAAAAGATGTTTTTCCTTATGCTTGAAGTTAGTATTTGCAAGAAAGTGGCGGTTATCTGAGCATAGCTGCAACAGACGGTCGCCATTATCTGTTCTTCGAGCCACGACAATATAAGATCCACCCAGGTGTCTTTCCCTATCGCTTAGTTTACCTACTTGAGCATTAAAGTCACCGGCCATTATTACTACATCCGAGCGCCTAGCTTTTCGGAAGAGGTCGGAGAGCTTTCTGTAAAACTCATCTTTTACATCATCTGAGCTGCAGTCAGTGGGAGAATAGGCAGAGACGATGAAGAGGCTACAACGAGTGTCCTTATCTTTCGGAGTCCTTATTGTTCCGTTTAGTCGAACAGCGCACAAACGACTGTCTATTGGGATCCAGTCTAAGAGAGCTAGTTCTGACCTAGGACTCAATGCTACACCTACGCCGGCGAGTCCACGAGAAGCAGCATCTGGGCTTCCAGATACACGAAGTGTGAATCGAGATGACTTTATTTTGATATAGTGAGGTCAAATTAATGACGCTACTCTGATCCTGTATGCGCGTTTCGGAGACGCAGCACACGTCTATGGCACGAGATCCTTAAGTCCTAGCTAAGGAAGCTTGTCGTCCTATTCGACACAGTGTTCGGACGTTATAAGCTTCAACATGAAGTTTAGAGCGTGGTTTCAGGAGACCAGGAATAACGTTCCGCGTACTCGAATCGTTTGCCTTAGCAATGCGAGGTGATAAAAGGACGTGAGAAGGGTTAGTCGGGGAGATAAGAGTGGTATTAGGAGGTGTGGGAAGAATTTGAATGTGACAAATCTGGTCTCGTGTGCTGTTACGGGTATGAGGGCTGGTGTCACTTCCCGGCTGGCGCATATATATTCGGCGCACTCCTGTACCAATATATATGTGTTCAAATAATAAATAATAATAAAATCTCGGCTGCCCACACCGTGGAAGGGTATTTCTTGAAGAACCTGAAAACGAAGTCGGATTAATGTCGGCCTTAACGACCTGTGAGCGTGACCGCAGAGCCCAGGGGACAACTGCTTGAGGACGATCGCGCACAGCCTTTTTGTGGGAGGTTTTTGACGTGTTAGTGCTGTTCTTCAAAGGGCCTTACCGCAGACAGATTATTTATTTATTTATTTGAACACATAAATATTGGTACAAGAGAGCGCCAATATATTTGCACCACACAAAACAATGAAAATTC